GCAGTGTTTCTCAACCTTGGCAACTTGAAGTCCACAGGGCTTCAAGTTGTCAAGGTTGAGAAACACTGCACTATGCTACTGCAATCTAATGTAATTTACCCATTAATATGGCTTGCTGAAACCAACTAAATCCTTTGATTTATTAAACTATTTTTCAACCAATTGTAATTAGACAATTCAGGATCCAAACGCAATGCTAATCTACATCAGACACTTTTAATTTAGTTTAAATTATCATATCAAGAAGGATAAGGGACACGCGCTCTGTGAATTGGAAATAAGCTAGGCCAAATCCCAACACAGTAAAACCATGATTATTTATGATTTCAAAAATAAAACTTCCTTATATTATTTGAGGTCAAGAGAATACTGCCTTACCCACAGGTAATTTACAAGTTGCAAGCTGCAAACGTCTTGAAATAATCAGTTAAAATAACTTAGTTTTATAAAGTAACACAGATTCCAAAACAAATGTTCAAGCCAACCAAATCCCCCCAGTTTTTCCTAAGATTTTCCCCCCCAGAAAACCTGCATTCTAGTGGTTTTTGATTTAGTAAATAGTTTCACAAGACTTTCTTACAATTTATAAATTGATTATCAGTCCCCCAATCAAAAGCAATTTGTAGAGCCAGACTTAAAAAGAATGCAAACGTTACTGTAATATGGTCATTACTTTGTGACTATCAATTAAATTCATCACTAAATCAACGTCTCCGTGCACGGGCTGATCTTCGGCCAGCTGTGGTTCCACTTTGTAAAGCCAATCTATGAGAGCCTGAAGGGCATCGGTAAATTGCCCAGAAAACAGGAGAGCTTCTTCCAGTTTGTTTTGTCTGAAAAAGGAACGTAAATAAAGCAAACATTTAAATAAGCCGTTTTGTGTGCATTCATTAGGAAAAACGCTATATAAATAATGGAAAAAACCAAAATTTGTTTTAATAAAATGGAAGAAAAGATAAAAAGTAAAAAAAATGTTATCAGTAGCCATAGCCAACTAAAACTGCTCCTTTGTTGCAGCAGTAGTACAGGGGGAAGTATTTATGTATTGCTTCCTGTTGTGGCCCAGTGGGACCCGGAGGAGCTGCTGCCAGACAGTGAGGGGTCTTATGAGTCGGCCCTGGAGGAGGTGGAGAACTCTGGACAGGGTACCGACTCCGAGCAGGGCGAGGAGAGACTGGTTGGCCACCAGGTGGCGCCGGAGCCTTGGATCAGAGGGAGTGATCCGGAAAACACTTGTGAGTTGTTTCGGGATGCACGCCGTCGAAGGGCTACTCGGCGGCAAGAACAACTGCGTAACTATACGAGATGATTACGCTCAGCTGATGCTTATTAAGATCCTTATTAAGATTATAAAAGAGACTGCTTGTGCCACGCCTTTTTGCAGAAGTCAACGTTCACGATTAAGAGAAGCCAACTTGGAGAACTGGTTTGCTGTGA